CAGGACTCATTTAATTTAAAACTCGGGTTGAAACACGACGACCCTCTTCAAGGGAAGATGTTGTTTAATAATACGGGCGTAAGTCTCTCTTTTTCTATGTGTCCGTATGTATGTATGTATTTATTTGGAAAGGATTGTGATGGAATCAGACTCGTCATCATTGGCAACACTCTTCGTGGCTTTGTTGACCTGACAACAGTGTGGACAGCAGCTCCTCAGCTCGCTGCTCCTCACACACTGCCGCCGCCGGCACAATTCATAAATATGAATGCTCCAGCTTACAGGTTCCTTGCTACACCAGAGCTTCATCTCCGGAATATGAGCTGCTTTCTTGACTCTCGCGCTACCTCCTACATCCTGAAGGAAATCCACAACATGATCGTTCAAACTTTCAAGGACCAGAAGACGCAAATTGACTCGCAGAACTCTTTATTATCATCAACGGAAGGTGTAAATCAAACAGCCTGATCACGTTTTGTAAGTCTCTTGTCCGTCGTTTCATTTGTGGTCAACAGGAATCTAAACTGGTGGGGACATTAAATTATCTTTGCTGAAGGCGTGAGCAAGGTGATCCCTCTCCCCCCTCCGGTTCTCCTATTGACCAAGATAGGTGTGTTTATTTAACTTAATATGTTGCTTTTCCTCTCTGGCTCTCTCACAGGTGTTGTAGACTCCTCACTACATGACATCTATCAGAAAAAAGACATAAACAGATCCTTTGACTGTCTCGCCGGGCCTTTGGGATTGTCTTTTGTAGGACTAATTCGCTTTAAACTATAAAGTAGTCCCAGCTTTATTAAGGTTCCTGGTGTACATGTGGTCTTTCTGCTATAAATGTGCCGAGGCAGGACCTGTGCAGGAGGCAGGACCTGTGCAGGAGGCAGGACCTGTGCAGGAGGCAGGACCTGTGCCGAGGCAGGACCTGTGCAGGCGGCAGGACCTGGGTTGAGTATTAAGTTATTAACGTCCAGGTGTGAGAGAAAAGTTTGGTGATGTCCGTTTGCCTGTCTGTCTCACCATCAGAACTCAATATTTACCGTTATCAGGAAGTTCAAACTTTTGAGTGGCACTGATTGACACACGCTGCCAGAGCCAGGTCAGGTCAAGGGTGTTATTTATGACAGCTTCTCTTCACCTGTGTAGTTTCATCAGGAGAGTTCAATAGAAGATTTTCCTCAACGCTCTCAAAAGCAATATATTTTTATTTGTAGGTTCTAGATTATATAGAAGTAGACGTGATCACGGTGCACACGAGCGGGTGTGTTAAAGAAGCCCAGCCAATGATGTACTCCCCCCACAGTGGACTAAATAACCCCCGTGTCACTTAGAGTCACCCAAGGGAGAGTTTGATGCCTCGGCGCTCTGGCTTTAGAAGTATTCGCATGTGAAGGAGGCCGAAGTGTTATTAATTCTATACACCAACAAACATTCTCATTCCCCTCATTTTATCATTCCTTTGAAGTTTACTCACCTTTGAATGACATTATGTTTGTTCATGAAAGGTAAGATAGAACGATATGCCGTAGAAAATGAGTTAAATTTTCAAACGAGAAGAAGTATTATAACCATTTCTCTTGCCAGACGTTGAATATATATTAAGTTCAGTGAGGTGAGGAACGCGCTACTCCAGATTTACCAAAAGCAAGGGTTTCCACTCTCAAACTGCTCCTTCGGGGGACTTCTTGGGATAGGAAATCGGGTAGGTAACCGTCTGCAGGCGTCGTGTTGATCATGAGTGATGCCTCCAGCAACTACCATGAGTAAAACCTGGAATTATCTGTTGTATTGATACGTCGAGGAGGAGCTGGTGGTGGTACTGAGATCATCCTCACAGTGCCTCTCACTACACCCAATAGTCTCTTGTTATGTGGACAGTATTTGAGATTCGAGTTCAAAAGAGCTGTTTATATATTAAGTAGCAAGACTCATCAAGTTCGTCATTTCTTCCACTGTGTGTGTGTGTGTGTGTGTGTGTGTGTGTGTGTGTGTGTGTGTGTGTGTGTGTGTGTGTGTGTGTGTGTGTGTGCAAGCGCCCCCTCACTACAAACCAAGAGGACCTGTGGTTGTGTTTCACCATCAACCCTGACTCTCCCTCACTAGCTGGCCTGGACAACACCCTCACACTGCTCGCTATTTGCTCAGCGCCGCCAAAATTTCGGTCTGGGTAACAAGAGTGTCCTTCACTGCATATTTGATGACAGTTGCTCCCCTTGCGCTGGGTGGCCGTGTCAACAACGAGGCGGTGCATGTCACGGGTTAAGGTCTGGTCCCTCCTTTCCACTGCTGCCTCCTCCCTCCCACTGCTGCCCCCTCCCTCCCACTGCTGTTCCCTCCCTCCCACTGCTGCCCCCTCCCTCCCACTGCTGTTCCCTCCCTCCCACTGCTGCCCCCTCCCTCCCACTGCTGTTCCCTCCCTCCCACTGCTGCCCCCTCCCTCCCACTGCTGTCCCCTCCCTCCTATACTCTCTCTTTCCCGACCCTTCCTCTTCCTTTTCTTCACCCTCCCCTCCCTCACACCCCTTCTCTCCACATCCTCCCTCGTTCTGTCCCTTACCTTCCCCACTACATCTCTCTCCTCCATCACACCTGTTTCTCCCCCCCCTTCTCTCCCTTCCCTAATACTTCCTCCCTCTATCTTCCATCACACCTCCTCTTTACTCCTGCCAAACTACCATTCCTCTTACTTTCTTCTTCCCTCTCTGCTCCACCTCTCTCCCTCTTCCTTCAAGCTCAGGTATCAACCAGATCAGCTTAAGGTACAGTAGACAGACTGGCATGGAAGGCTAAATAAGGAGAGAGAGAGATAGAACGAGAGAACTACACTACAATCAACCGTCTTTACACTTCCTATCAGTAAAATTAGATATCTATTCCACAGCTGTAGAGGAGACCCCATTCAGTGGCCGACCTGCAAGACTCGAACCGGCATTCATTGGATCAAGAAACGAGTGCTTTATCCACTCGACCACCAAGTTGTTATCTCATGGAATAATCTACCAGAGAATTGTGTGACAAGACCACGTGTGTGTGTGTGTGTGTGTGTACTCTCTTAGACTCAAGATAGGCTGGCACTGGCACAGAGTCAGGTATGTACATTCAGGAGTCTGTATATGAGAACCTGATGAACAAAGTGATGAATCCTTAAAAAAAAAGTTAAAAGTAATATAATAAATGAATAATTAAGTCGCAATAAGTAAAAATTAGTAGTGAATAAGTAAGTAATAAGATAGTAGATAAGTAAGTAAGTTAACGCCGTGAACCTCTTAGTGTACTGGTCCTGGTACAGTACATAACATTGCTCACCATCTTCAGGATACAATAATACTTTTATTAACGTTGTCAATAACTGTGTTACCTATCAGGGTTTTTTTATGATTGATATCGATATTTTCTTTCTTTCCCCCTTAAGATATATTTCTAATTTATTTTATTTCTTTGTTTTATTTTCAAAGTAATAAAAACCCAAAAAATTTTCCTCATGATGTAAATTTCTTAACTTAACGTATTTTTTAAATGAAGAATGACCCTAAAACGTCTATTTTTTATTTATCTCTCTATCTAGATTTTTAAAATAAACATAACTTGAGACGAAAAAAAATTCGCCCTTTTGTAAATATGAAAAAAAAAAAAAATTAAAGTAAAAAAAAAATACGATTTATTTTTTCTCGTGAATTATATCTTAAGAATATTTACGTTATCTGATTTTATTGTAAGTTCTAATGTAGGTTTATTTTCCCTGTTGTATATTTCTTAAACCTTTTTTCTCTCTCTTCCTCTTTCTCGTCATTTTTAAGTGTTATCTCTGTTATTGTACTTTTTAAATACTTTTTCTTAATTTTCGTACTTTTTCATCCGTATTTTTCCAACTTTCGTAATTGTTAATCCGTATTTTCCTAATTATTGATAATCTGAATCTTTTTTTTTTGTTCTTATTTCTCCAGTTTTAATCCCTACTTTTTTTTATCTTTGCCCCAAGAGGAGGTAAATATATCCAACCGAAAATTTTCTTCTCTATGATTTACAGATTAAAGATTTGAAAAAGTATATTTTTCCAGCAATTTTCACTTTAATAAAACTAAATAATTATTCCGCGTCCATTACAAATTAAGGGGAAAAAACACAAATACTTTCCCCTTCGTGATTTACCGATAGAAAACTCTTATAAAAAAAATCCCCTGTGATTTCTAAAACAAAATAAACCGCAAATATTTTTCCCGCGTGATTTAAGAATAAAAAACCCGCCAACATATTTCCCGCGTGATTTCAGAATTACATAGAAACGTACACAAATTAACTTCAAAGGGAAAAAAAAAAACCCGCGGTATGCCAAAGACTCTCTCCCACCTCCAAGAATTGACGCCACTCACAGAGAAAATCAAAGACCCCCTTTAAAGAGAAGCAGAAATATATTAGAGTTTTAAAATTGAGAAAGAACTTTGGAGTGTTGGAGTAATATGAGAATCTGACAAGTGTTTGGAATCATTGGTATGGAATTCTCGGTGTTAAAGATGTAGTAGTGTAATGGTGGACAGCTGCCCCCCTCCCCCCAGCCTCCTCCAGGTGTTGACATGTTTGGTTAACGTTTACTACAGCACTGTTTCTGTCTGTCTGTCTCAATTTATAATAACATTTCTATACATATAGGATCTACCCTTTAGATTTTCAGTATAAATACATATACATTTACACGAATCATCTTTTATATAACTCATCTTTTACTCTTTTCAGGCTATGGTGAGTGACTTGGCTCTGAATGGCAGCAGAGGATGAGTAACAAGAGTGGTCAGTTACTCACCTTATATCCAGGATGAGTAACAAGAGTGATCAGTTACTCACCTCATATCCAGGATGAGTAACAAGAGTGGTCAATTACTCGCCTCATATCCAGGATGAGTAACAAGAGTGATCAGTTACTCACCTCATATCCAGGATGAGTAACAAGAGTGATCAGTTACTCACCTCATATCCAGGATGAGTAACAAGAGTGGTAAGTAACTCACCTTATATTCACCCAGGTTGTCCACTATGCAAGAGAGGATGGCTTCCCTCCCGAGCGGTACCGTTACGTTGTTTATCTCGTCGCCAAAGTCTGGTTCAGGCTCCATGGTGCCCACTTCGTTGAGGCGAGCTGCCGAGCGGGGGGAAGAAAAGGAAGGAAAAATTACACACGTTGTTATGGTTTCGAGGAGAGAAAGTGATGTGTTTAATTATTCTAGAGTTAAGTGGTTATGATAATGTGGAAAACAGTTCATCCCCTCCCCCCACACACAGAAGTACATATTTACATTATCTAATAAAAAATGTATATACTTTACACATTTCATTACCATACCCATCCGAGTCTTAGTTAAAAATTGTCAATGCTGGGTAAATCCACCTTCATGTTTTTCAATAGTTCACACACCTGTATATTAAAATTAAGAGAATAATTGACTCTATACCTTGATTTAGACATGGATAGGAATATATACAAAGGAGTACTAAGGTTAATTAATTACAGGTAATAGTATAATTAGCCTTTATATTCTCTTCATCATTAATGTGTCTTACAGTTGCCTTATTCATTATTTCGTCATTATAAGTGAATGAGGAATACGATATCTTTCTTTAGTTGTCAATGAATCACTTGAGACTGTTTTATTTTTCTCTTCCCAAAGGTTCATCTAACTCTCTTCTCTCTCCTGTCCACCAATCGGAGTTCTCGTTTGATACTTAATCCTTTAGAGGGCAAAGTATCCCTCAAGCATTTTATTCTGGCAAAAATATCCCTCCTTCTCCCAGTATCTTCCTTCCTTCCTTCCTTCCTTCCTTCCTCAGCAACTCAGTATTCATCACACCCAACGCTGGTCATGTCACAATTCTTAACTCCTTAGCGGTTCATACACTTCTCTCTCTCTCTCTCTCTCTCTCTCTCTCTCTCTCTCTCTCTCTCTCTCTCTCTCTCTCTCTCTCCCTCTCTTATGGGTTTTTTGTTTCTCCCTTATCTCTACTTACCCCGTACTACATGCACCCCTGACTACATAAGATAAACCTCTTTGCCAGTAATAGTAAGATGATTATCTGAGTAACCCCCGGCCCTCTGTCATACCTGTCTTTAGCATTACCTGGTCATATTCTATTCCTTCGTGTGTCAATTTCTAGCCACTCAAAGTATTATTAACTGATGGGATTGATAAATAGAAACAAAGGAGAATAAGAAGGAAAAAGAGTAGAGTAGAGAGAAAAAGAAGAGAAGAAGAAAGAAGAAGAGAAGAATAAGAAATAAACACACACACACACACACACATACAGTCAGATCTTGGTATCACTTACAGCCACACAAGGTAAAAGGGTCACACGTAAAGAGGAGTCAGTACCTTTACCTGTCAAAAGTCTGACATATTATCGTGGACAGGTGAATTAAGGATAAGTTACAGGGATGTTTCGACGACTCAGAGTTAAGGAATTAGTTATAGAATTGACGTTTAGGGTGAAGGAGGAGGGGAGAAAGAAGGAAGTGGAGGGGAGAGAAAAGAGGAGAAGGAGAGAGAAGGAAGAGGAGAGAAAGAAGGAAGAGGAGTGAAAGACTGGGTCAGGGTTTAAGAGGGAAATATTATGGTGGATGAAGGAAATTTATGGAGAGAGAGAGAGAAGATAAAGGGTGTAGGAGGGAGAAGGATTGTGGGGAGTAGGAGAGGGAGGAGTAGGAAGGGAAGGAACGAAGGAAGTAGAAAAAAGGTTAACACAACACAACACGGCGTAAAAGTACCACGAAAAGGTCTTCAATTATTAGGTTAGGAGATCTGAACTTTCAATGTTATGGTAAGTAATATATTTTTGAAGGTTTATTACCGAGTTTATTTGACCAGTGTTCAGATGTGACTCTATCCTCGTCTGATCCCGGTAACGACTATATCATCTTGCTTGGCTTATTGTGCTGGCCATACCGGTACCTCTTGTTGTCCTGGCCATACCGGTACCTCTTGTTGTCCTGGCCATACCGGTACCTCTTGTTGTCCTGGCCATACCGGTACCTCTTGCTGTGCTGGCCATACCGGTACCTCTTGTTGTCCTGGCCATACCGGTACCTCTTGTTGTCCTGGCCATACCGGTACCTCTTGTTGTGCTGGCCATACCGGTACCTCTTGCTGTGCTGGCTATACCGGTACCTTTTATCACAAAATTCGCCAGTCCTGCTAATACCATTACTGCCAAGTCTTTGTGAGTTTCCCAGTTATTCTTACGGGTCAGAGTTCATTATTTCTCACTTGTATATTTTTAATAACTGCAGTAGATGGTCCAAAGGTCGCAGTCTATTGTCTTTATCTCGCTGCCTCGTTGGACAATCGGTTTAATTTATTGTGTTTCTTAATTTCAACAAGGGACGGAATCCACACCAATGCAGTACGTAGGTTGTTATCCTTGATAGCTTTCATACCTCTTTTGATTTCACATCACACGTTGGGCATATCGAGGTTGATGGCCGGCCCGGCAAATTACTTTTAGACTTACAAAATATCACAAATATCACACATCATCTCCGTTTTCTTTTAGTTAATTCGAATTATTTTTTATGGTGATAATCTTGTTATTTTTTTATTTTCTGCTTAATAATGATTATAAATTCATCGTTTTTCATTATATCAAAGGTGTCCTGAAAGCCGAACGGTGTTAGAATTACGAGCTTAATAATTAGCTTCATACCGTTGGTTATGGTGTGAGGTCGCCGTTTTTCTGTTCTGACAGGTGGGGGTGACGCTACCAACTGCAGAGAATTCCCTTATATTCTGAGTCTCACTCACATTGGTTACCAGAAATTTCGAAGTGTTAACTGCATTCTTGTTATCTTTCGCGTGGTTCACATTTTCTGTTTAGGCGCTGTATAGTATAGTGACCAAAGAAGCATTAGTGATCAAGGTGTAGCTTCTCCCCTTTTCAATCGATGATTATTAGGTTAAATGTAGTTCTGACTTGGAAGATTATTCTTGCTTTGTAGTCTCCTGTAATGATAGGAGCTCTTTAGAGTTTCTTAGAGCGATATTGATCTCGTGTTGTATGGTAATTCATTAAATCTTTCTTTAAACGTTTCCATTTCCTTTCGGGATGGAAGGAAAAACTATTGCTCTAAAAACGTCAAGAACTGCCCCCAGATACTTGGGTAGTGATCATACATCCACCTGATCTTAGTATGAGTCTGTAGCCCATCGAGAAAGGACAAATGTATATATTGATCTCGTGCAAACAATAGGTGGAAGGTGACCATTATTGTCTCTCATCTCTCAGCAGTCTCTTCCTCACGAGATATTTGGTATAGGTCCCACCATCATGTGATTGAGATGGTTGCGGTACTTTTGTTCATCAGGGCTTTTTCCTCCTTATGTGAAACGACTTCCTGAAATTCGTTGCCAATGTCATGTTGTTGTTTCCCAGTGCAAGTGTCGTCTTAAAGAGGGAAATTTGAGCAGGAATGGTCGTGGTAATCATGAACTATTACAGGCGGGCGAGTTAACCGCTAACCCATCGTAGTTTCGAGAGTCTATAGTGACTAAACCCACTAAGGAGATGATAATGATGCAGGTAAAGAAATGTAACGTAGTTAGGTGTAGTCTGATCAGGGTAACACCAGGTGATATGTAGTCTTGGGGGGTGGGGGGTGACGTGAGTGGAAAGAAACAGATTTTAGCCTTCGCCTCTACGCCATGTTCGGCTAGACCCTCACACCTCTTCTTCACACACACACACACCTGCTGTAGAAGAAATCCCCAAGTTTGTGGCTGCTACCTTGTTAAGTGAGATGAATTTCCCAGTTGTTGGTATGGGAAGGTCGACAAATACTTACAGACACGCTATAAAAATTTACTCTCCTCCGCCCGGTTCGTGTCAGAATGTTACCGTAATCACTTTAAGATGACGGGACTCACACTCCTTCATGCCTCCATCTCACTCATCTTCAAAACCTTCGTGAGTTACTTAAACTATGATCACTCATAAGACCAGTATGCACTTTGAAAATATACCGGGTTTTATAAATTTTTGGGAGCTAATGTATATTTCTGATGGTTCATATCTCTCTCTCTCTCTCTCTCTCTCTCTCTCCTCTCTCTCTCTCTCTCTCTCTCTCTCTCTCTCTCTCTCTCTCTCTCTCTCTCTCTCTCTCTCTCTGTGATCCGTAGTGGGAGGCTACTGGTACGATCATGGCAGATCAATGACCCTCTCGACACAGAGCTCTGTTGCACCTTTCCGCTGCAAACACTGCAAAGCGATTGTCAATCAGCCGAACGTAGCGCGCAACAAATAATACAAACTGTCTCTTCAAAGCGATGGTCGTACTGACGCCTTCCAGCACTTGCTACTTAGAGCACCAAGCCAAGGTGTGTCGGTGGGACAACTATCAAATTTTAAACTCCAAGGACAATTTGTACAATTAATTATAAAAATACAATATTTCATGTCGAGGACTACCTATACTGAGATTATGAGGGCCAAAAGAACTAAAAGTGGTACACTATAGGTCACGGACACAGCCTTCACGGAGCCTTCACTACTGACCCCTGGAGCAATGAGGAAAATTTTGAACTGCAAGAGGGGCACTTAACCGCATGTGAAAGTAAAGTAGTATTTTTATTTCATTTTAATTTAGATTTTTAAACTTATTAAGCTTAATATTCTATTTATATCATATCATAGTTTTAACTTATGGTTTTCCTCCTAAAGGCAGAGTCAGTTTTTGATTGCGGCCATCTTGTGTTATATGTTGGAACTAAGATTTAACCGACTAAGTTCCTAAGTATTTGAGAGAGTGATGGAGAAGAAACAGAGATTAAGATTAATTTTGAGATATTATGCTTGAGACACAGAGAAGGAAGGAGAAAGTCTGACTCAGAGAGAGAGACATAACCAACCAGCTAGGTGTAGGAGACAAAGTAAAGCACTTAACACAATACTATAAAGTATTGATGGATACGGGAACTATGTCACGATATTCAACCCCATGTGCATGTCACCCTAACTTGTCTCTTGAGGCTACACACAAGAGGAACGAGAACGACATGATTAGGGCGTATGCTAGGAGAATTCAGAAGGTGGATCAGGGCAGCTTCACTCCTCTGGTGTTCACGACCTCTGGCGGGATGGGACCAAGTGCAAGACGCTTCTATGCAAGACTAGCGGAGGTG